TGTTTTGTCCAGCTGGACTGTGAATTTTCAGGGACATAAGGCTGCCCATCTGTGTATGCTTAAACAGTATCTGATAACAAAAAAACTCCCCCTTGAAACACACGCTGATCTCAGATGGAATTAATRAATAGCTTTTCTACAGCTTGTTTTCTTGATGATGTGAAATTGAAATCTCAAACAACCCCATTTATTAGGGCCATAAATCCGAAAGTAGTTATGTGATATTAATTAAATCCTCCCATGTAGCTGTTCTTAGTCTCCCAAGCTCTTAAAATGCTGTTCTGCCTGGTGTAGTAGTATGGTTGTGACAGAGAAAGACTTCACGAGATGTGTCACTGTAAGTAACTAATGCTGGTTGTGGGTGTTTGTTCTTTTGTGGACATTTCCTCTTGTGACATTTATATTTTGTGGAAGTCTTTATTGTTAGAAAATCACAAAAAGTATTAAAGACAATTAGAACTAACAGTGGCTGGTGTGTCAGCTTGTAACCTCAATTTGTTTGATTTCAAGGCTGTATAAATGCAAGGGATAATCTCAGTTATCTCTCTTCCATAATTTTTGTGTGTTTCATGGTTTGTCTCCTTCCCACCAGCGGTTTCACACATCACCAGTATCACCACTCACATTACTGTATCACCAATCCATTTATTCTGCATCAGAYTTCATATCCATAAACATTTTTAGCTCATATGCTTATGAATAACCATGATTTCAGTGGCTGCTGAGTTTAAAAGCCAAACCCTAAATCTACTTGAATAATTGTTCACTAGAAAAGCTATTAAATTCTGCAGCAAGAGGAAAATAATTGTCAAAAGAATCTTTCTTCTCTTTGCTACTTCTAATATACTACTTTGATATTTTTAATGCTCAAAACAACCACTCCAGTGACTAAAGAAGTTCCCTAATGAGTCCTGTGAATGGTAATGTGATTGCAATAAGAAGAGTCAGTTTCATAGAAGTAATAATTTCTGAAAAGAACCTAGTAAAAAATGTAAAATGCTTTTGATTTAAGCAAGTGATAAGAACTATACACACATGATCAAATTAGGCGATTTATATCCAATTTAAGTGGATATACCTGGAACTCCAGGTATTTGGAACAAAAAACAAGTGGGATCATCTGCTCTCAGGCACTGTGTCGTCTTTTTCAAAGGATTATATTCAGTTAACGTAGTTTAAGGATGCTCTATTCAGTGTCTCAGCTTCAGTGAATACTTAATATAAAAGTGTTTTCCACCTTTTTTAAAGAGGCTTCTCTTCAGCTTTTCTGAAGATACCATATGCAAAAATAATAATAATAAAAAAGCTATTTCTTCTACTTACCCTGTTTTAATGAAGTGTAATTTTTTATTTCTTTTGCCATGTAATTTTTAGTGATAGCATTTACAAGCAAATGAAATAACTGATATGTGCATCTCTAAGTGTGGAGAAAACAGCTACAGAGTTAAAAAATTTTATTTCTGTTCTTTCATTGGAGTCCCATCTTCAACAGGAGTTTCTTTATATGAGTAATCCAAGGAACAGAATTCCACTCTAATGCCTTATAAACTCCTCTTGTCCCTGCCTTTGCTGCCAAATAAATTGTGATAAGGTTGTCATAGCCCTGCCAGTGTATTTCTAAAATGATTGGTCTCTCTGTAGCAGTAAATACTGACTAATCAAGATGCAGTTTTTTAATTATCTTTTCATCCTTCAGTAGACTAAGCAAACATATCCATACTAAACTTAATCATTATCCTGAAATATTTATGGAGCACACATGACTGAATATTGAAATTGGGCCAAATATTGCAGTAATCTGTGGATAATCCTGTATTTTCTGGTTTGTGAAAGTTTCTCTAGAGAATATAAATTCTGGTTAGTTTATTTAATCACTGCACAGTTGTCTTTTGGAAACCTAGAAATTATAGAAGTTATATCTATTGTGAATATATGCAAACATTCACACCGCACTGAAGCCCCTAGATTGAAAATTGCATAAACTAAGCAAGAGAGGTGAACTCTTTATATTTCTGATTTGCACATAGAATTAAATAATTTTAGAGGCAAATTAATCTACTGAAAGAATAAAGGAAAAAAAAAGAGCTCCTAAACATTTTAACTYTTTTTACCGTTTATATGAAAGTGTAACTTTATGGAGTTATATTTTAATATATCTTTTAAACTGTTATGTGTACAAATTTCCACTGCCATGAGTGGTTAAATGATTGAAAGACCTTTGGAAACCTGATCCATACATTGAACCTTGCTGCAGTTACATGTGCTGAAGTTAACATATGACTCTTTACCTGCCTGTTGGCCTTCGCCTCCTCTGACAGACAGGAGAAATGATTGGCAGAGCTGTCAGTCTCCAGCTGAAGGTGTCATGCTTTGAATTTAACAATTTAGGTGTGGATTAAGGAGGATAGCGATCAAATCTGAGTATTATCTGAGTTTTTCACACTCGTGTAAGCTTTATCTAGGTGTCCTCAAGCCCTCTTTTTTTTTTTTTTTTTTNTTTTTTTTTTTTTTTTTTTTTTTTTTTTGTGCAAATTGACACGTTTGTAGGTTTGTCAATTTGTAGGTTTGGTGATTTGTGTTGTCAAAACCCCTGCATTTAGGGAGTTTTCCAGGCCCGGGTCGGGAGATGAGCAGTGATGCCTGCTGCAGTGCTCTTGCTGTTTCCTTTATTTCTCTCCATATCCATATCTCTGTAAAAAATAGGAGAGTGTTTTAGAACATCTTTATCTGAAGAGACATTCCAGGTCAGACAGCAAACCTTTAATTTGCCAAGAGTGTGCTGAACTAGTTATTCCTGTCATCAGGAGAGACCATTTGTGCTTGGTTTTGCGCACAGCCAGATATGAACTGAAACTTTTTTTCCTTTCAACACATCGGAGCCTGGTGCCATAAAGTGCTATTTTAAAATATAAGTGCTTATTTTCAAGCAACAAGGAAGCTGCCAGCTAGGGAGCATCAAGTGAAGGTTAAAAGATAAAGGTCTTATATCTGAGATAACTTTAATACAGCAGCATTTAAAGGGCATTTGGCACTGTGTAAAAGTCCTTAGCATTACTTGAGACCATATCTCTAAAGATGGCTTTTCTGAAGTTGCTGTTACAACTGGAATGTGTGAATAAGAGTGCCAGCAGCACGTCCTTCTTGTTAACTGCTAAACAGAAAAACAACCGTATTTCAGAAAATGCAAGTCATTTCAATAGATCAAGGTGAAAAAGTGAGATTTTTGATGTTTTATTTTAAAAGAAGAATGCTTTTTTCATGCAAATGAATATTTTGCATTCTACTAATTCCACTAATTTAACCTTCTCCTAAAACATCTGGGCCTTTTTCTGTTCATTGGCAATCTGTCCATATTTTCATGACCTTTTAAAGATGATAGAGATCGGCCTTACAAAAACATTGATCGGTGCTTTCCAGCTGCTTCGGCTGCAGCTTGTGGGATCCCATGGAATTCTATAGGTGAAAATGCTCTGAAGCATTTTTCAAGGAATCAACTCTTTCCACAGAACAATACCTATAAGCTTCACATCTTTCCGTATAAGTTGCTCCTTCCATTGAGGATTGGTGGACATTTTCTACTTTAAAGAGTTCTGTTGCCTGTTCAAATACGACACCTCAAACCATTCAGGTCAGTGCAACACTTGTTTAGATAAAGTTCACTTCAGTTATATTGTTTCCTCAATGAAATCTTGCTGGAATTTGATAATAAAAAATCCTCTGTGGCAATGGTCATGGCAGCTGATGATTATGATGGAAGAACAATTTTTAGCTACAAGTAATTCTCCAATTAACGTTTATTTACAGTGCAGTTGATAATAGCAGCACATGTCTCTGAAATTATAAATAGTGAAGGCGATGGACRTTCATAGTTATTTATAAATTGTGTAAGAAAATAAATGCTGCCTTAGTGTTGGTGCTCACTGTTAAAAATATATTGTTTGACAACTATTCTAGTTAGATATGTATGTGACTTCTGTTTTTTGTTATAATTAATAAATTTAGTTTAACTTATAAATTATGAATGTACTTTGGCATCACAATCTTTTGCTGATAATTTTTAAAGAATATTTTAAGGTATGCAGAGAGCACTAAAGTGTATTCCATGAAGAGATTCACACGTGCAAGTACCAGCTTCCTGAGAAGTTTTACWCATAATCTCTGTTACAGTTGACAGCTCTGTGAAGTGACAGAGAGAAGTACGTGTAGAGCTGGAGACACTCTATAGTTACCTATTTTAATTTCTCCTTCTGTGTACCTGCGGAGATTAAAGAAAAACATATGGAATTATGTATCTCAGAATAAGAAATGGCCAAGAATGCTTTATTTAAACATGTGATATTTTAAAAATCACTTTTTTTTTTTTTTTTTTGGTACAACTCAAGTTGCGTTCTGGTATTTTGCTCTGTTTCCTGGCACTGAGTATGTTTTGTGTTCTTGGGGAAAGTCAGCATAATAGCTCATAAATTGCTCATAAAATTTAGGTGCTTTGGTTTACTACAGCTTATCTTTAGTGGGCACTGGTTCTCTCCATGYGCTGGTCCAGCTCACTTAAGTTGTTGAAAAACTTACCCGATCAAACGTATACAGAGTTTTCTGTCAGGTTAGTGGTTTTTCATCAGCTCATGAAACATCTGGCAAAAGTCAGAGGGAGGAGGACTGCACAATTTCGGGGAAGAAGATAAGGGAACAAGCTTTCTCCTGCCTTGTGTCACTACCTTATTACTTTGGTTCAGCTGTTGATAAAATCTCAGTATCAACTTGCACAGTTGAAATATTAACTCAGAGCCTAATTCGGACTTAAATTTTGCCTGAAAGACAGACTTTATATAAACTTAAACGAATAATGAAACAATGGCTCTAGGTCATCTTTTTTGGTACTGTATAGAACTTAAAATTCTTCTTTTCTCTCTCTCTTTTTTTTTTTTTTCTCTTTTTGAAAGTTTCCACACCCATTAGACTAATAATCTTTGGTATCTTTGTTCTCTGTCTCTTTTCTCCAGTCGAGGCCTACTACCCTGCAGGACATTTTGTGAGGCCGCAAAAGAAGGCTGTGAGCCAGTCTTGGGGATGGTAAATGCTTCTTGGCCGGAATTCCTCAAGTGCTCCCAATTCCAAAACAAAACGGAAAAYGACACTGCCACAAGAGTATGCTTCTCGCCACACCAAGAGAAAGGAAAGCAAAGTACGTTTCCATTTTTAACTGTTAACCATTGTTCAGAAGTTACTAGTTAATAATGTATTTGTCTTGTTCTGTAGGACAGACTCTGGGGTGAAATTTATGAGTTCTGGTTCTGTTGTTAAGTAACTTCAGATTACCGTGGTAAAGTTAAAGCCTCATTGTTAGAAATTTTTCTAAGACATTTATTGCTTCGAGACTGTCTTTTGTTTTGCATCAGAAAGTCCCATCTGTTTCAGGGAAAGAAGCTAGACAGAAAAGGCCCTTTAAAAGAAAGATCTGATGACTTTTTTCCTTCGCTAAACTAGTGATCACTAGTGATTGCTTTGGAGCCTGAACTTGATACATAGGCCAAATTTCAAATGCATCTCTGGTCCTTGCTGTAAAAATGAACCCAAAGCCTGTCAAATTGTAAACTTGTCCAAAATCAAGGTTCTGATACACCCACTAGTGTATGCTGCTTAGAGCTCTGTGAGTGAAAGCCTCCAGACACCTCTTTAAATATAAACTATTTTCATCTCGGAGCCCCTGCTGTGTTCTCTGGATCTAAATCTAGGTGAGATCAGACCTGAAAACAGCAAGCCTGGCTTTTTGTTTTTTCTCATTGATCCCCTTGTTGGGTTTCTCTTGTTTTGTGTTTGTCTATTGCTAGTCCAGACAGAGGATGGTCCTTTACTGCTGATACGCAGCATCCTTTGAGCCTAAGGGCTTGTATGGTCAGTCTGTAGATTGATAATAATAATAATAATAAAAAAAAAAAAAAAAAAAAAAGAGGTGATATACTGAGAATAAAACAAATAAACTAGCAAGTTATATATAGAGAGTTACCTTAAAAATATTTATGAGGTTATGAAGTGGGTATTCACAAGTTAGGTAATACCACAGTTAGGAGTGTTTGTAGACCCTTGGTTATCTCCTTGCATTTTCTGAATATGCATAATACTGCAGCCTTTAAATACATGATCAATTTTCTTTCCTTTTTTTCTGAGTGGGATTCCCTTGGCCTGTAAGGGCACGTGTTGAGGAATCATGAAATAAAGGAGGTTGTTGTTCCTACCTACCCTCACCTTTGGGAAAATTAGTAATGTCTGTGACRGGGAAATGCAGAATGAAGGATGAAGGGCCGTGTCTTGTGGAAGACATTTGAATGCCTTCCAGGAAAACTGAGTGCTATCCACAAGTCTCCTGCAGAGTTATTAAGGGATTCTGGGCCAGTTGCTGTAATGAAAGCCACTGGGAGTTGTGTTTTAACTATATGAGATAAATACGTGCTACATGTGCTGAAAAACTAGGGCTTATGGACCGTTGCAAATGGGAACCATAAGTAAGTAGATATAAACATGCCTAATTTCTTCTTATCTCAATTTATCATGTGTAAAATGGGAATAAAATCCTCCTTCTACCTCACAGCAGTATTTTAAAACTAAATGCTTTGCTGCCTTTGATACTGTAGTGATGAAAACCCTAGAAATTACAAATATAGTCATGGCAGGTGAAATAACAAATGAGGTAGGAGTTTGTATGATCAATGCATAAATRTGGTAAAGGGCTTATCCTGAGCAGTGAGGGTGAAAAAAAGGGGTGACCAGCCTATCCTCGACTGAGCMTGTTCATAGTTGGCACAGAAGGAGGTGCAGTTCTGAAGGAAGAACAGAACGTCGGATAACTAGGGCCTATTCCTGTATGGTACACATGCTGAGCAGGAGGTAAGATATAAATATACCTATTAACTTTTGGCAGATGAGAGTTGGCTGAAGTGTTCAAAAGCCCCATTAAATCTTGATGGCAGATTTGTAATTCATGCAGTAAATTGCATGAATTATAGAAAGTACACAGTGGAAATTACTGTTTCTCACCAGGGGAAAATATCTTGAGCTGTTCTTGAGATGAACTACTCCTACCTGACAGGCTGCAGAGGCCTGTACCATTTTTGGCAGATCTGACATTTTGTTGTTTAAAACAAATCACATCTTATATTAACTTGCTTACATTTGCTGTTGTTCATGATGCTGGATATGAATAATTTACATGTGGAGGAAATGATAAGACTATAGGGAGTGTTTTAACTTCTTTTGTTTAAAGGAATATTTCTAATGCTATGCCTTTTTGGCTGAAAAAAGTTAAAAGTCAAGCTTCCCCCAGGTTATTTCTTCAGAAAGAAGTTATTGTTGTGATTGGATATTTTTTTTTAATTTGTGTATTTAAAATAATTTATATACCTGAACGTAGCTGAAATAAAACAGCRGGAGTTAGTTTGCTGTTCCATTCCTTCTTACCTAGTGCTCAGCCCAAAGCACTCTTYAAGGTTTTCTTGGGGCGAAATTCCTGGAAATTCCCAGGGTGTGCCCTTGGCAATGTGTGCTGCTTATGTGTCAACCCTGCAGTTTTTCCTGGGCACTAAAACCTCCAGGCTGCATGCAGTAAAACACTCCTTACCTACATCCGACTTGCATGTACTTTGTTTGCTGTGTGGATGCATTTCTCCTGTGGGGGTTTAATTGATCCTTATATTTATTGTCCTTATAGTAATAAGATGTGGCTGATATACACACTTGTTTCATCAAAGTATAATTAAGTCCGAAACAATTCTTTTTGTGTGATGTTTTTCATCATACTATGGCCAAACACTGTGTGGCCAAACACTGTGCATTTTGAGGCTTTGAGTCAGGCTCTGACTGATTTTCTAGTTCGAATCCAGAGCATTTATTTCAGGGACAGTTATCAGCTTTYCTGGTACGCGTTTATTAGTTAGGAACTGCTGATACTGCTGTTCACTAAAAAGTGGAAGGAAAAATGGCACTGAAAATGGCATAACATAGCACTGTCTTCTGTATTATTAAACTCCTAAAAATTATTCTGGGAATCTTTATTCTTTTGCCTCTACAGTGGATATCCAGTAGCTGAAAAAATTAACTACTAAGAGCAAGAAAGCTGTAGGAATCCAGTTGTTGATACTTGAGAATAAATATTTGAACTGGTTTCACAGATGAGCAGTGAGCATGTAAGGGAGTAAGGGACAAATGCCAACACTGGTGCATTCATTCATTCCCCATTAATCCAATAATGAGTTCTTGTGGAACAAAAGTCTCAGAGGCATTCCTGGGGGCTGCCGGGCATCTCCCCACTCGCAGAARTATTTTAACTTTGTTTTTCTTTCTTTTAACCCTCTCTGTGGATCTCTGTTATTCTACTTGCTTTGACCAGCCTGCAGCTGATGCTATTAAACAGTGGGGGGAAAAAAATAACAGCACTGTGAACGAGAAATAAAGCAACAGAGTGAGAYGGCTTATGTTGAAGTGGGCTTCCTAGGAAAGTACGACAATCATTTTTAACAAATCTGGACCCTTAAACRCTTTGAAAAATAGTAGTGAATATTGATAATTTTGCGCTTTTCACAACRAAATCTGTGTGAAATCTATTCAGAATCAATCAATTCAGAATTGGCAGGCAGTGTTCGCTTTTGCATTATACTGCAGTGACTGTAAAATTATAAGTAACACATAGAACTCYTTTATCTGCAATCTAGAAAAAAATGGTGAACTTTTAACCCAGTGGTTATTGCAACAGTTTTTCAATTGGTATCATCTTTTAATTAAATTTTTCTGGTTAGATAAAGTTACAGTGATTGCTGCGTGGGAGAACTGGTACTGATGCTCTGGATAATCTTCTTGGCAAAAAAACAGAAATTAATTGTTACACGTGTTGATTTATGCCCTGAAATGTTCAGGGGAGTGAAAGAGCTAAATGCATGCATAACTGGAGTGAACCCTTTAATCCGTTTGAAGATGACACCACAGGAGCCCTTAGCCCATTTTAATCTGTACAAGGCACATTTAATTGGTGCTCTGCATTAGCAAGTCTAACAAAGGGCACATTTTTTATGCATGCCACTTTATGTTACTTTAAAAACATATAAGTGAAAGATGCTTTAATGCCACAATTATAAACCTCAGCAGTAGCATTTGTTTCTCTGACATAATAACAGCTTTCCCTTTACCCAGATTTAGCTTCAAGTTTTGCACTAACTCCACTCGTTAGTTCTAATTGTCTTCTGGTGGCTCTTATTCTGTATTGCCTTGTCCTGTGTAAGCTGCTGTACAGCAAAGAACACAGAAAAAAGACTCAAGATAATGAATACAACACATACAAGAAAAGGACTACTTTTTMCTAACAAAACATATGGTGAACTAGTACAGAGCCTTTGTTTGTTCTTTGTGTTAAATACCGATAAAAATTACTCTGACACTTCCTCCCATGGTGTCAGGTTTGTCTTCCAGGACACTGGAATGAATTTAGAGAACAGAAACACAGAGGCTAGTTATATACATCCAATTTAGAAATTAATTAAGAAAAATCTTTTAAAATCAGAAAAATACTGYCTTTTTTTGTGCCTTTGTATTCATTTAGTGCACTGGAAAGAAGATGGAGTATATATGAAATACCGAAACTGTTCAGTTGTAAAAATAGTGCTAGAAAAGATAATTTTTTGAGGGAGACAAAATATWTTTCAGGTTTCTGTGTCATTCGAGTAAACATTCACAGTCAAAGGAACTGTTTCCCTTAAGCATTTATTCATTACTTCCATTGACTCAGTAAATACTATATTTAATTTTGTCCTTTAATTTCTTTTTTTTTTAACTCCTCCTCTGTCCCCTCATCTCTGCCTCTTCCTACTCCTTGCCTGTTTATTTTCCAACTTGGAGTCTTCCAAAGGACTTCTTAGGTCACTTGAAATGACTGGAAGAGAGAGGACTTTGTGTTCTTCTCCCACAGGGTTTTGTATCCTAATGAAACTGAGCAATGGACTGGTGAGGAAGAAGTTACCAGCTTCTGTAAATCTGTGGTAATGGACAGTTACAAGATGCATATACCATACCCCAGGGTATATAGGATATAGGGAGCAGGTGACGAAAATCTGTGGGCAAGAGAACACAGGGATTCCTCTGGGTCCCACTGTGCTATTGTGAATGAAAGAATGGCAATGTTGTCAGAGCAAAAGTCCATCT